TACTGTGGCTTTAAGAGCTGTGTTTTGTCCTGGTTTCTTTCAGAGAGAGATAGATTGGGACACAGGTACTGAGTAGTCTATGAGAAGATAATCAATTTGAGAGACATTGGGGTGTTTTTTTCCCTCTTTAAAGTTGGAACAATAGAAGCAGCCTGAGTGGGTGAGTTCAATGTTAACAGAAGCAGGCTTTTTAATTAACTTTCAGCAGTTGTCTCAGCAGGTTTGGAAGACAGTGAATCTCTCCCAGCTGCTACAATCTCTCTCCAAATTGTCTTTTGATGTACTCTCCTCCTGGATTGCAGAACTGCATGTGAGAAAATCTGTTTTCTGATCTTACCTTTTTGCCAAGGGGGTTTGTTTATGGGATGTTACTATATTGGAACAGGTAATTAGTAATAGTTATTGTATGTATTATTCTGTTAAGCTTTCCAATTGAGTTAAGTTATTCCAATTCCTTTCTTGTTTGTTGTAGTTTCACTATAGTGCATGGTAAAGTGTGTTTTGATTTAAATCCGGTAGTTTGACCAATCGAATTGCATTTGGAATGCAGCATCTGACACTTGCCTTTAAAAAATGAAAAAAGTCAGGGTCTGGGCTACCTTCTTAATATATTTCCTGGTTGGTCCATTACATAATCAATAAATGTAAATTGTCAGGAGATTTGTAATTTCAGGATGTCATTGAGAAGATGACAGTGAGCTGATTTCTCCCAAAATGTTGTTCAGGAGGGATTTCATTCCTCCCAGGACTGAGAGTTTCACTGGGAAGACCAGCATTTGTTGCTTGACCTTATTTGAACTGAGTGACTCACACAGCCTGTTCAGTTGAGATTCATAGAACAGCAGTTGACATTGCTGTGAGATACATAGGCCAGATTTTCTTCCCCTAAGAGGGCATTAGTAAATCAGATGAGCTTCTACAACAAACCATTATATTTGACATTCCACATTTATCCATTGAATTCATATTTCACTAGGTACTATGGTGGGATTTGAACCCACATGCCCCAGAGAATCAGCCTGATCTTCTGGATCACCCCAGTCTGGTACATTACCTCTATGCCAGATCTTCCCCCTACTAGTTGATGATAGTCCCCATTATTGAGAGCAGCATTTTATTGCAGATATATTAGTGCATTGAATTGAAGTTTCCCCAGCTGCAATGGTGGGATCTGAACTCACAACTATGGGGCATTGGCCTACACCAGAAGGAGGAATGGTCGATCGAACGGTGTGAATGTTTTGAGGGGGAGAAGCCACTTGCTGTCCTCCTCCTTTTGAAGTATCAGGAAGCACAGCTTTCACCAACATCAGAAAACTGGATCAGGTTCCAAGGAAGGGCACGAGGCAAGGATGCAGGGTCTACACAACAAAGCAGCTAGAGACTGCAAAGGCAAAATGTTAGGGTTGGTATTGTGGACAGAAGAGATTAAAAAGGCTCCTTAATCTGAGCCAGCTTGTCAATGAGGAATGATTAGAGAGGCTGGATAGAAGGAGGCTACTTCATCAAAGCTCATTTATATGAAATGATACAGATCAGACAAAGCAACTTTATGACTGTGTCATTATATAATTAGAAAGAACTATACTGAGACAAATTACAGAAGAGCAGGGAGGGTGTCATTATTGCAGAATCCCAATCACATTTTTGTTGGAGAAAATAGAAGGGCATTTATGTTGCAAAGCAAGATCCAAGTTAAACCTTGCATCCTCACCTACTCACATGGATGTTATTTATCAAGGGGAGATTTGAGACGGGAATATTAGATCGGCCCCAGTTAATTTAGCTTTGCTTTCACATCCGTAAATCTGATTAAAGTCTGCCGGTATTTTTTGGAAGTTTTTGCTGATTCCTTTCATTTTCCACTCGCAGAGAATTAACTTCACCATGTTACAGTTTCTTCCATTCAGCCTTCATCCAGGAAGACTTGAGCATTGTATTTTGGCAGCACATTCAACTGACCGAGTCATTTCAGCTATCAGCGAGTCTCTATTTGTGTCTCGTCTGCACCTGGGCAGGATCACTGATTCCTCTCCGACCTCCTGTTCAATTATTCTGGGTTCAACTACGTGAGTCTCTTCATCAGTGATGCTTACCCCGTGTTTGACTTGTTACACCTGGGCGCGGACTCAGAGGAAAGGAAACAAAGAGCTGGAAGGCGGAGCTGAAGCATGGAGCAGACATTTCAAAGCACTGAATAACCAAATGTAGAATGCATGCGGAAGCTATTGGCATCGATGTAAACTGAGAGAACGTTTCCTTTGTGGGAGACAGGCTACAAATAGGAGGCAGAGCTGCAAATGAAGGGGTCTCCCATTTAAGTCAGAGATGAGTACATTTTCTTTTTCTCTGTCTGAGTCTGAGGAATTCTTCTCCATAGACAGTGGTGGAGGCAGAATGATTGAATATTTTTAACGCTGAGTTAGAAAGGTTATTGATTGATAATTAAGGAGGTCAAAGTGTATGGAGGAGTAGGTGGGATTTGAGACCACAAACAAATCAGACACAGTCTTATCAAACAGCAGAAACAGGCTCAAGAGGCTGAATGGCCTTAAGTTGTGTTCACATCATGGCTGCTCCCATGGAGGACGCGGCCAGGGGTCTTTTGGAGGGACAACTGCATGGACTCACAGAGTGTACTCCATCGCCAAAGGCAAGACGTTAATCTGGTGTCAGCAGTTGTTCATTCAGGCATCATTGCCAGTGGCTGTGTGCTTTCACTGTGGTTCTGCACTGTTCACAAAAAAGACCCACAAGAGATGGAGCACACACAAGTGTGGATCGCTTCGATTCGAAGATATGGGGTTAAAAAATAAACATGAATCTAAGTCCAAGTGAATCTTCCATTTTCTATTTCTAACAGTATCTCAACCTCATGTAGGCTTCTTGGTCTGTGTCTCCCCTGAGCAACATCACTGCCTCACTGATTATCCATGACTTCAGCCGGTTGTATATGCATGCTGGTTTCCTTATAACCAGAGCAGCTCTTGTGGCTTGGTCAAAACCCAGACTGTGAGAAAATGATTACGTTTTCTTTCATACTGGTGAGATTTCAGTCTGTTCTATTCTAGCCCTTTCTAGAACTTGGCTCCGCAAAGTCTGGTGAGACATGAGATCGGCTGCCTGCTAAGTCAGAGGTTAAGGATCCCACCCTACAATTTCATGGAAGACAGTGGTCACCCTCTCAATGAACATCACTAAAGCAGATTACCTGGACGTTGCTGTTTATGGGAGCTAACTATGTGCAAATTTGCTTTCTATAGGAGAACTGGGGAACATAGTTATGGAATAAAAATTGAAAGAACTGCAGATGCTGTAAATCAGGAACAAAAACTGGATTGGATGGAAAAATTCACCAGGTCTGGCAACATCAGTGAAGAAAAATCAGAGTTAACTCAGAAGTTCTGAGGAAGGGTCGCTGGACCCAAAGCGTTAACTCAGTTTTTTTTTCCACAGACGCTGCCATAGTTATGGAATAAGGGGACTTGCATTTAAAACTGAGATGTGGAGGAATTTCTTCTCCCAATGAATGGCTAGAGTTCTCCACCCCCAAGAGTTGTGGAGGCTAGATCACTGAAAGCATTTAAAGAGGTAATAAATATATTTTTGAAATGTCAGGGAATTGAGGGTTAAAATGAGCTGGAATGAAAGGGGAGTTAAGGTCTGCAGCAGATCAGCTGTGGTCTTGCTGAATGGTGAGCTAGGCTTGATGGGCCAAATGGTCTACTTCTTATGTTCTAGCATTTATAGCAGTGACCTTTTATCTTCGATTCATTCATGAGATGATGTCACCACAGGCTAGGCAGGCATTTATTTGCCCATTCCAGAGTCAACCCCATTGGTGTGGGTCTGGAGTCACGTGTAGGCCAGACTGGGTAAAGATGGTAGATTTCCTTCCCTAAAGGGCCTGAGTGAACCAGATGGGTTTTTACCACCGTCGTTGACATTGGGCCAGCTCTTTATTCCAGATTATCTTTCTCATTAAATTCACAAACTTCACCATCTACCATATTGGTGGAATCAAAACCCGTGGATCACTAACCCAGTGAAAACGCCCCTAGCCGCCGCATTATTTTTTTTAAATGCTAAGAAAAGTAAACAATTGGCTGTCAAGCACTTTTTGACATCCTGAGTTTGTGAAGGGGAGGGGGGGTGTTAATGAAAGTCTCGCCTACTTTAATCTTGCTACCACCCATCCCCTCCCCAAAACAATGGGGTACATCCATAGCTCATGCTCAGCCATGTTTTACCATGAAGGTAGCTTTCCCAGCATCCTTTGGTGGTAGCCAAACCCCACACTGCCCCCCCGCACCCCCAATTCTTAATTCTAGACGTTCCCACCAACTGTTTTGGCGCTGGGGCCCTGCAGCTGGGATGGGAGTGGTTGGGGGGTTGGGGGAAGGTTGAAAGTAGAGGACAGCCTCCACTTGACGAACAGTGGGGTCATGGGTTTTATTTCTGTGTCCACAGCAGGGGGTGAAGAGGCTGCCCGGTGTCCTGTTAAACACCTCCCCCACCCCAATCTCCGAGAGCTGCCAACTCCATTAGCTGGAGGAGGGGGGCCACTGCTGAGTTGCCATCCTCGCAAAAATATCACGGGAGGGTGACAGACAAATCCACTGCCCTCTGGGCCTGCCTTGTGCCTTCCACAACTTGGGGATGTGCCAGCACAGTCAACATGCAGATACCTTTGCCTGCCATCCTGCCAACGTTCCCACCCATTGCCAACGGGCATGAAAGATTGTAGCCAGTGCACTTGATAAACCTAACTGCTGTTGATTCTTCCCATAGTCAGACAATTCAGAGTTATCAAACTGATGCCTGACCCCTTTATAAATGGTTCAGCGGAAGTATCTACTGACTGAATAAACACATATTCACAAGTGGCTCAATAATAAAGGGGTTGAATAAATAATTTGACTTCCCCATGGGTTTTCATTTCCTCTCGAAACCAGGCAGTGCAGAGAAGGAAATTTCAGACTGTAATGTAAACACTGTACCTTGGCAAAATCGCGCACGTCGAATAGATCAAAGGCTTCGAACAGTTCGCTCTTCTTCATGTTGAATTTCTCACAGCACGCATTTAGAAAGGTCCGGATATTCTTCAGGCAAAGGAACTGCAAAGCAAGACGGAGCAGATACAAGAAGGATCAATTATCAGAAAGCCCATTCTCGCGTTAAAAAGCTTCATGCAAATTCCTGCCCCCAGTTCATCCCATCTGTCGTTACAGATTTGTCTTCACACTTTTTTGAGCACGGTGCAAGGCAAACAGTCGAGAGATGGAGGGAGGTCAAAAAATAAAAATTTCTGGATTCACCACCGCCTTCTCAAGGGGCAACTAGGGATGGGCAAGAAATGCTGGCCAGCCAGCGACGCCCACATCCCACAAATGAATAGAAAAAAAAACACACTCCACAACTTGAGGCTGTGCCAATACACTCGATGTCCAACCAGAAGCAGCACTGAGATGATGACTAGAGTGTCTGTTGTTGTTAACACTCCTTCAAAGGGCTTTGAGATGTTTCACTCTGGTTAGGGAGTGCTATGTAAATGTAAGATGTTTTTGCTGCAGCATGCTAACCTTTGCCAGGAGATGGCCATAAAACCAGAAGGTACAGGAGCAGAAGTAGGCCACTTGATCTCCTCTTCCAATCAGTGAGATCATGGCTGATCTAATTCCTCCACTTTCCTGCCTTTTTTCAAAATCCTTACTGATTAAACACATCTGTCTATCTCAGCCTTGAATAGACTGAATGACCCAGCCTCAATAGCCCTCTGTGGTAAAGAATTCCACAGATTCTCTCCCCTCTGAGAGAAAAAAATACTGCTTCATCTCTGTCTTAAATGCATAACCCCTTACTCTGAGATTATACCCTCTGGTCCTAGGCTCTCACACAAGGGGAAACGACCTCTCTACATCTACTCTGCAAGACCCCTAAGGATCTTGGATTTTTCAATAAGGTATCCTCTCGTTCTTCTAAACGCCAATGAATTCAGGCTCAATCAACTCAACCTTTCCTCATAAGAAAGGTACAATGTTTACATAAGTTCTTCCAAAACTGATATCGGCAAGGGGAACTGTCTCTGGACTGGTCCAATGTCAATATATCTTTCCTTAGATCAGGGAACCAAGTCTGTTTGCAGTATTCTAGCTGTGGTCTGACCAGTACTGTGCACAGTTTTAACAAGACTTCCCTATTTTTATATTCTATTCCTTTTGAAATAAAGGCAATATTCCACTCACCTTCCCCATTACCAGCTGAACTTGGAGGATAGTTTCTTTTTGTGATTTATGATTTACATTTATTAAGGGGAGGTGATGGCCTTGTGGCATTATTGCTTGACTATTAATCTATAGACCCCAGTAATGTTCCAGGGACCTGGGTTCAAATCCTGCCGCGGCAGATGTTAGAAAATGAATTCAATAAAAATCTGGAAATAGAAGCCTAATGGTGACCATCAAACTACTGTTGATTGTCAGGAAAACACCAGCTGGTTCACAAGGGAAGGAATTGCCATCTTTACCCAGTCTGGACTACATGTGACTCCAGGCCCACAGCAATGTGGTTGACTCTTAACTGCCCCCTGGGTAATTAGGGATGGGCAATAAATGCTGGACTAAACAAGCAACATCCTCAACCTGTGAATGAATAACTAAAATGTATGCAGCATCCCCCTAGGCTGAAGCTTTCCACATTTTTCTCCTCTATTGTTCGTGCCAAAGTGGATAACTTCACATTTTCTGACATTATATTCCTTCTACCAAGTTTTTGCCCTATCACTTTACATATCTATACCCTTTGGCAGATTCTTTGTGTTATTCTCCCTACTTGCCTTCCCACCTTTCTTTTGGATCATCTGCAAACTTGGCATTAACTTTCCACATCCAAGACACTATTGTGTTGCCAGTAGCACTGCACGAGTTATCGGTTGCCATCTTGAAAATGCTCCCCTTATCTCGAGGTCTCTATCTTCTGTTGGTTGCCCAATCCTCTATACTAGTCCCTGCACCACAGGCTCTTTTCTTAATAAGCAGCCTTATGTGCGGTACCTTATTGAATGCCATCTGGAAATCCAAAATGCATCATACCTACTGGCTTCCCTTTGTCAATCCTGCTTGTTACAACCTCATAAACATTCTAATGAATTTGTCAGGCACATTTTCTCCTTCGTGAAGTCTTGTTGATGCTGCTTTAGGTATTAGAAATTTCTAAAAGCTCTACTATTAGAGATAGCTTCTAATCAACCTGTTCAGATACTTTACAATCCCTGGAGCAGGTGGGGCTTGAATCCAGGCCTTCTGGCTAAGAGGGGTGAACACTACTATTATATCTTCTAGAATAGAGTCTAACCATTTCAATAACAGATGTTACACTAACTAGACAATAGTGTCCTGCTTTCTGTCTCCTTCCCGTTAAAATAAAGTTGCTACTTTGGCAGTTTTTCAATTCTTTTGGACTTTTCTGAATTTCAGGATTCTTGGAAAATTACAGCCAATGCATGCATTATCTCTGTAGCAACTTTCTCTAATACCCAAAAATGGATCCCATCTGGTGTGGGCAACTTATCAGCCTTTAGCCCCTTTAATTTCCCTGGCACTTCTCTTATTTCCTCTTTCCCTTTTGTCGCTTGTTTATTTAGTATTTCTGGAATGCCAACAGTGTCTTCTTCCATGAAGATTAATGCAAAGTATTGATTCAATTCATCTACCAATTTCTGGCTCCCCATCATTATTTCCCCAATCTCATTCCCTTGGGCACTCTCTTCCTCTTTACCATCAATTCTGTTGTTACTCGTTAGTTCGCCCTCATAATTTATTTTCTCCATTTTATTTGGTGTGCTTTGTTGGCTTTTAAAACTTTCCCAATCCTCTAACTTACCGCTGATCTTTGTCACTTTGTATGTTTCCCTTTCAATTTGATACTGTCCTTAATTTCCTTGGTTATCCATGAAGGATTTATTGTCTTCCCAGGAACCTTTGTTGAGTGTAATGAACTATTTTCTTAAAGTTCTACCATTGTTTATCAAATGTCCCTTCTGCTAAACTCCTTCCTCGGTCCACTCCAGCCAATTGAGCTCTCATTCCTTTGTAAGTTGCCTCAGAGTCAAGTTTCTCCCACTGAAACTGCATGTTAAATTCTACCACGTTATAGTCACTATTCCCTAATGGATCTTTCACTCAGATCCTGGTTCATTACTCATTACCAGTTCCAAAACAGCCTGATTGGATCCACAATACGTTGTTCCATTAAACTGTCATGAATGCATTCTATGAATTCTTCACCACAGCTACCTCTGCCAATCTACACAAAGGTTAAAGACATCAGTGATTAATTGATACCTTTTAAACATCCCCTCATTATCTCTTGATTTATTCTCTGACTTACAGTATACTGCTGTAGGGGGCCTACAGATTACTCTAAGCAATGTCTTCTTCCCTCCCCTTGCTATTTCTTACCTCCATCCATAAGGATTTTAGATCATCCAAACTGAAATCATTTCTTGCCATCGTATTTATTCTGCACCATCCTAACAAAGCTGCCCCTTCATCTTCCTTCCTACCTTTCTTTTGAAAAGTCACATGCCCCTGGACATTTAGTTTCAAGCGTTGATCTTTTTGTAACAATGTTTGTTTAATGGCTATAAGATCATACTCATCAACCTCTATTTGCACAGTTAATTTATTTATGTTTTCCTGAATAGTAAATGCATTTAAGTAAAGTCGTACAGACATGGAGTCATACGACACAGAAACAAACCCTTCAGTCCAACCAGTCCACTTCAAACATGTCCCTAAGCTAAACTAGACCATCTGCTTGGCCCATATCCCTCCAAACCTTTCCTATTGAAGTACTTATCCAAGTATCTTTTAAATATCATAACAGTACCCACATCCAACACTTCCTCCAGACGCTCATTCCACACACGAACCAATCTGTGTAAAAAAGTTGCCCCTCATGTTCTTTTTAAATCTTTCTCCTCTCACCTTAAAAATAGTTTTGAACTCCCCCATCACGGGGAAAAGACCCATCTCATTCATCTTATCTATGTCCCTCACAATTTTATAAACCTCAATAAGGTCACCCCTCAAACTCCTACGCTCCAGTGAAAAAAGCCCAAACCTATCCAGCCTATTTTTATATCTCAAACCCTCCATTCCTTTTCAAGATTTCTTTTCCCTTTCATCCTATATATTGCTGTGATTTAAAGGATTACTCGTTATATTTTTCCTTTATGTGTGAGAAGTATTTAAAATAGCAGCAGGAGGGTGTACCTGCATAATTTTCCACAAAACTGGGTAGGTGCCAGGGTTGTAACTGTGCTGGATTTCTGGCTAAGGCTGAGATGGATTGTCCGCTGAACACTTCTGGAAGAAGATTGTTGCAAATGTTTCAATCTTTTCTTTTGCACTGATCTGCTGGGCTTTCTCATCATTGAAGAAGGGGCTTTTTGGGGATCCACCTTCTCCTCTTGTGACTTTATTTTTGAGCACCATTGACAACTGGATGTGGGAAGACTGCAGAGCATAGATCTGATCTATATGGGCGGCACGGTGGCTCAGTGGTTAGCACTGCTGCCTCACAGCACCAACGACCTGGGCTTGATTCCACCCTTGGGTAACTCCCTGTGTCTGCGTGGGTTTCCTCCGGGTGCTCCGGTTTCCTCCCACAGTCCAAAGATGTGCAGGATAGGTCGATTTGCCATGCTAAATTGCCATAGTGTTCAGGGATGTGGGGGTTGTGGGTGGATGGGTTGGTTGCTCTGAAGGTCGGTGTGGAATCTTTGAGACAGCTCCAACATTCAATGTGACCACATTTGATCATCCAACTCAATACTCTGTTCCCACTCTCTACCTGGATCTTTTTAGCCCTAAGAAACATATCTAACTCCTTCTTGAAGAACAACAGTCCTAAATTTGTCTTTGACCCCTATTTCCAGTTTTACCCTCCTGGTCCCAGACTTAGGCCTGTATGAAGACACATCTTGCTCCTTCTGTCTTGGGTTTGAAGGCAGTCAGGTCTTTCAAAACTGGAGGACTTGATTTTTCTGACTCTGGTTGTAATATTGGACCATGAAGCACGACATTGGGAAGTCACATGGGTCTGCTGTTTACTGATAGACCTTGGGAAGGGGCACTAGCATCTCCCTTGCGCAGGGAGAAACTCCCCGCACTAGCGGGCAAGGGAACAGTGGGTACAGTGGCAGCTGTCCTCAGAATAAAGAAGCATTATTCACAAATGAAAAACAGACACAACTGTGAAAAGAAAGGAATGGAGAGGGGTAGGAGGCTGACTAATAGCAGGAACAAGGGCTGAGAAGCTGAGTTACTAAATCAAACCTCAAACAAGTATTAATTAGAACAGGAGTTTACAACAGAAAGAAGGAAATGAATGATCAGCCACGAATCTGGTTATAAGAATGGTACGTACAAATAAACAGGCCTTGTTCTGAGTGGCATGCAGCAACTAGTGGGGTATTGTAGGGATCAGTGCTTGGACCCCAGCTATTCACAACACATATGAATCATTTTGATGAAGGAATCAAATGTAAAAGCTCCAGGTTTGCAGACGACACAAGGGTGGGAGGGTGAACTGTGAGGAGGTTGCAGAGATGCTTCGGTGCAACGGTGAGTGGGCAAATGCAGTATAATGTGAATAAATGTGAGGTTATCCACTTTGGTAGCAAAAACAGGAAGGTAGATAATTATCTGAGTGGCAATAGATTGGAAACAGGGGACGTGCAACAAGACCTGGGTGTCCTTGTACACCAGTCGCCCTTAAGCATGTAGGTGCAGCAAGTGGTGAAGGAGGTAAATAGGATGTTGGCCTTCATAGTGAGAGGATTCGAGTACAGGAACAGGGATGTCTAGCTACAATGGTACAGGGCCTTAGTATAACCACACTTGGAGTCTTTGTACAGTTTGGTCACCTTATCTGAGGAAGGATGTTCTGGCGATGGATGGAGTATAATAAATGTTTATCGGACTGATTCCTGGAATGGCAGGATTGATGTATGAAGCAAGACTGGATTGGTCACTGGAGTTTAGGATAATGAGAGTGAAATCTCATAGAAACCTATAAAATTCTAACAGGACTAGTCTAAATGTAGGAAGGATGTTTCTGCTGACCGGGGTGTCCTGAACTTGGGGTCACAGACTAAGGGTATGAGGTAGGCCATTTAGGACTGAAATGAGGAGAAATATCTTCACCCAGGGAGTAGTGAGCCTGTGGAATTCACTGCCATAGAAAATATTTGAGGCCAAAACATTGAATGCTTTCAAGAAAGAGTTAGATACAGTTCTTGGGACTAAAGGCATCAAAGAGTATGGGGCAAAATTGGGAACCGGGGACTGAGTTGAATGATTATATTGAATGGCAGGGCAGCCTTGAAGGGCTGAATGGCCTACTCCTGCTCTCTACTTTCTATGTGTCTATGGAAGGAGCCCATTCTGCACATCTGGCAGAAGATAGAACCAGCCCATGAATGGTGATCATGGAGGAAATCTGTGTGTAGACCCAGAAGATGTGGACACAACCCTCAACAAATGCTTTGTACACATTGGAAAAGAAAGATGAAGACACAGGCTAGAGGACTGTGAAATATTATTAGAAAAAATTGCCAGAGTGAGAGAGAGAGAGAGGAGAACTAGGGGGGTCAGCAGGCCCAGACATGACATAATCCAGGCTATTGAAGGAGGTGAGGGAGATATTTGAGGCCCTGATGGTATTTTTCAGATGCTCTCTAGCCTTGAGTACGGTAACAGAGGACAGGAGTATGTGAATATTGCCCAAAAGGACAAAGGATAGACCAGGCAACTACAGGCCAGCCAATCTAACCTCAGTAGGAGGTAAGTTACTGGGAAGAATTCTAAGGGATGGAATGTGTCTGCACTTGGAGATAGATGGGCTAATCCAGGATAGTCAGCACGGATTTGTTCAAGGAAGGTAATGTTTGACAAATTTGATTGAATATTTTAAGGATGTTTTGATGAAGGGAAGTACCATTGATGTGGTCTACATGGAATTTCACAAAGCTTTTGATAAAGTCACTCATGGCAGACTGGTCAAGACCATGGGATCTGAAGTAAAGAGTCATGTTGGAACTAAATTTGGCCAAGAGGCAGGAAGGAGAGGCAGATCACAGAGGGGTGTTCTTTGACTGGAAGACTTTCCAATGGGTTCCACAGGGCTCGGTGCTGGGGCCCTTGTTGTTTGTGGTTTACATTAATGATTTGGACTTAAATGTAGCGAGGTTAATCAAGACATTTGTGGGTGATATAAAAATTGGGTAGGTTGGTAAATAGTGACAAGAATAGCTATAAAAAGCAGGAGGATATCACCAGATTGGTCAGCGGACAGGGTAGTGGCGAAAGGAGTTCGGTCTAGAAAAGCGAGAGGTAATGCACTTGGGGTCATGAATAGGGTGAACAGTCAAAGTGTTTTTCCCAGGTTAGGGGAGTCCAAAACTAGAGGGCAAAGGTTTAAGGTGAGAGGGGAAAGATTTAAAAGGGACCTAAGGGGTAATGTTTTCACGCAGAGGGTGGTGTGTGCATGGAATGAGCTGCCAGAGGAAGTGGTGGAGGCTGGTACAATTACAACATTTAAGAGGCATCTAGATGGGTGCATGAATAGAGGGATATGGGCCAAATGCTGGCAAATGGGACTAGATTAATTTAGGATACCTGGTTGGTATGGACAAGTCGGACTGAAGGGTCTGTTTCTGTGCTGTACACCTCTATGACTCTATAACTCAATGTGAGAGAAGGAGGCCATGGAGGATTTTGAAAACAAGGAGGAGAGTTTCGAAACTGAAGACTTGGTGAACCG